GSMAARGRAAWKGGGARRWKGRWTTYYWCCTAACCCAAATACTAAGTGAACATGCTTTAGCTTTAGAAGCTCCAGCACGACATTAGTCGGAATTGTCCGACGTGTTCAGAGTGCTTTGAAGACTCTGAGCAAATATTTTTTTATTGCCTTCTCTTTTTAAGTACAAGGGAATAACTTAAAACTACACTCGGTGGTAGATTTAAGGTGGAAAATTTGACGACACTCATGTGTCAATCCACTGAGAACTGGAGAGCGAAGCGGCAGCCTCAATCATGGCAAAACTGAGACATATAGAGCAGAGTARGCGTTCGTCAGTCCATGCCATAGAAGAGACTTAGATGTCTTATCACTCCCACAAAGTAATACTTAATCAGGTGGGTCCGTGGGAGAGTTTGCAGTTGGGAGTAGRTTAGGTTTAGCGGATTAAAGTTTCGCACTCCGGCTTTTGGTGCTTCCAACTAGTTTTCAMACTTCGCTTTTGATTGAATAAGTTTTAATTTTATTCTGATTACCGAAATCCAAATAAGTAACCAATTATATCCTCTCATTATGCATTTATTTTACAACGATAAGCACATCAGTCTTTTCTGACGATCACTACTCGGTTCTTACCACAAAAGCGGTGCAGCTAGTGGAGCAGCAGCATAACGGGCGGCGAGTGGAGCAGCCAAAGGAGCGGCGGCGTAGTGTGACGCAACCAATGGTGCGGACAGAGGGGCAGCAGCGGCATAACGGGCAACCACAGGGGCGGCTACGGGAGCGGCGGCAACAATTGGWGCAGCGGCGATGCCATTGTAGTTGCGAGCGATCACTTGGCTGCTGSTGGCRGTCACCACTGGRGCTGGAGCAGCAACGACGGCRGCWGGMGCAGCGTAGGCCAAAGGAGCGGCAGCAAGAAGACCGGGTTTGGCGGCGACGCAGGCGATGAGGGCGAAGAGAACAACGRCCTGATTKGAGAGAAAAAGAATACAAATATGAATATTGGCACGTAATAATATTGAATGTTAGTCAAGCTATATTTTGGCAAAATCACTTACGTATTTGAACATTTTGAGTATGTGATTTAGCTTAGATGAGCTGCGTCTTGAACTTCAGTTGATTACTGTCTGATGTCTTCTTGCAAGTTGTGCACAATTTTTATACACAAWAACGACGCATGCAACTTTGCGTCAAAACAAATGTTTTGGTTTCCTATTTGTCAATCTCAACGCAGTCGCCCTTCAAACAATGCAATTCCAATATAAATAGCTCGTTAAAAATGCCACTGAATTTGACTACGCAGTTATTTGGATCATTGCAATTCAATGCCACAGTTGTATTTTGCCTTGTCTTTCGTTGTTTGGGGTTTGCATTAAATTTTTGAACTAAATTAAAATGTACACACGCACTCCCTTGTAAATTAACCGAAATTTTGTTATGCGCAAGCGCGAAGCACCGACGAATGCTCGACGAGTTTGTGACTCGGTTTTTTATAAATTTGTTTTGCTTTGGTGTGTGGTAGTAAGCATGAATCACCGCAAACAATAATATTAGGCAGTACAAAAAATCAGCTCAGTATATATTTGCGTGTGAAAAAGTAAATTTTCAGAAAGTCAGAATAACATTTCGTTTCAGCAACCGCCGAAGCCAATCTTACGAATGAATATGTTCAAATTCGTATTTTTCGTTATTTTTTCATATTTACAATTATTTTACAATTACTTTTAGGCCTTTGTTCTCATTGCTCTCATCGCCTGCACCGCCGCTGAGCTTGGCCACATCGCCAAATTCCCTTGACTCCCGCTCCCTCCAGTGTTGTTACCGCCTCAGCCTCAGTGGTGACCGCCATCAGCTGCCAGGTGCCTGCCCGTAATTACAATTGCACTCCAAATTTAATGAGGAATATTTATTATCATTCGATAGAACATTTTATGAAAAATGTTTTTTAAAGATTATGTCTTTCAAATAATTTCTCAATAAAACCATTAACGGATGCGATGTGTATGAAGTGTGCCGTCTTATTGTATCATTTTTGAAGATATATGAACCGATTATTCCACCGGTCCTCAAACCACACCAAAACCGTGGTTTTCTGGCAAAAAATACAGCTTTTAAATATCTTCAGGTTGATCTTCATCCCATTGCTATATATCTCAGCATATCTTAGCATATTTATGGAAATATAAGCTATCGCAAAAGCAAATAAAAAAAATTTTTTTTTGTAAGTGTCACGAAATAGCGCCTTAAGCTCAAATTAATAATTAGTTWATTCAGTAAAATAATCTGAAAATTAAAAGAGGAAGCGCTCTATTAACGTCTGACCCGGACCTTTCTATTTTAACTATGCGCGCAATATGCTTTCTAATGCATCGACTCAACATTTTTGTCAACAATTTCTTAATGTTTTGTGTTTCAATGCCACACCCATACCGAAAAACCCGAAAACGGTGGAAGATTTTTGCATGATTGTAACTGAMTTTTTAGCMCCAAACAKGAARAGACARTTAKMGATCAGTCAKTCGCCTTTCATATGGTTCCCARAGYCCTTTTTMTTTTTCTGTTTCCAAAACTTAAAAATCTATTTCGCGATAAGTCCATTGACCTAAACCAGCAAACCAATGACAAACACACATTATGGCCACGAACATAAAAAAAATAGACTAGGAAATACATTTTTATAGACTTTCATAATTCGATTTCTATGTAAAAATTCCTGTCAAATTTTGTGAAGATATCCTAACAAATGCTAAAGTTTGTAATTAATTTTGTAAAAGAAAGAATGAGTGGCTAGGTTCCGCACGTATGTATATTTATGTGTACATATGTATATATACAAACAGATTGATATGGCTAAATCGACCCTGCTCGCCACATTCATTTCAAAAATATATATTCTATAGGGTCTGCAATCGAATCGGTTTCATTAAACGGTGACTGCAACTATACTAACTCAAAACTAACTATAACAGGCGCACTAAACATAATAAAACACTAACACATGTATAATTTAAAA